TACTTAATTAAATATAATTATAAAAATATATTAATAAATAATTATGTAAATTGTATATTGTATATTGTATATTGTATATTGTATATTGTATTATGTATATTTTTTATAAATATTTATGGCGCAGCTCTTAAATTGTCTTCTTTTGTCACGGATGTCTGCTCATACGGGATCTGTGTAATATATACATTCTTGTCATCTTGCATTTCATTAGATCCAAAACAAAAGCTGCGCAGTCATACCTGCGCGAACACGCATTTTTTCGCTGAGTGTCTCTACTGGTTATACTATGACTACTTAATATGAGTATTCGCATCTATCATTTTTAGTCCTTTTTCCATTCTCTTGCTCCTTTCTTCAATCCCTTGCTCTCTCTCTCTCTCTCTCTCTCTCTCTCTCTCTCTCTCTCTCTCTCTCTCCATTCTGCCGCTAAACTAGGAAGATTGAAAAGAGAAGAGAGAAGGTTGAAGAGAAAACAAAGAATACGAAAAGAACTAAAAATGACAAATACATGTACTTATTTGTTCCTCATTTCATGTTTCATAAACCTTCCCTGATAAAACAAGGAATCTTATTAACCTTATTCCTTTTTTCAAGGGAAGTTACGAATTTCCTTAAGAAGGAGATGCCTTCATAATCAAGCAAAAAAATAAATTAAAATGAATAAAGTTTTTTATTTCCTTTTTTTCCGTAAAATAAAGAACTCTGATTGGTTGATTTTCTTATGCCTCATATTTTCATATATCATATGCATTATGCTAAAGTCTATGCTCCCCGCTTAATCCTAACCAAACCTATTTTTTACTTTCTCATAGAAAGTTGTACATTCATGAAGCAAAGTTCTACTAGGTTTACAATCTTCCATACAAAATGAAGATCTCCTCGCACCAACAAATGAGTTTGATTAGGATTAGGTTTTTTTGGAAAAATATTCCAAGTGGATACTGTTTACGTTGTTTATGATTGTTTATGTTGCAACTTTTTAATAAATAATAGTAATAGTAGGTTCGCGAAGCAGAGCGCCACTTTTTTTCTGCCAGATTCTTTCATTTCATGCAAAAATGCGTCGAATGAGCCTAATTTTATTGATTTTTGAAGCGGACCCCCTAAACTATATAATTATCTAAATATTATATAAAATATTATTAAATTATAAACTAAGTATTTTTAAAAATTATTTTATGTACCTGCACGCACATGTCAGAAACGTCAAAAAGGCTATTCAAACTAGGGATATGCGATTCAGATTAATTTTTTGAAGAATCGATTTTTTTGACTTAAAAAAATCGATTTTTTAAATAATCGATTTTCTTGTTTCGATTAAATTTGCAGATCAATTTTTACATGGAAAAATTGAATTGATTACGAACACACAACCATTGTATCATTTATGACTAATTGTATCATTATTTTTAAAGACGAGTCATGATTGATTTACATATTTGTTTTGCGAATCCCGAGGCAGAAGCGTAGTGTCAGCATTGTTAGCAGTGTGCCGCGCAGGCGCGCAATCGAGCTCGTTGCTGTTATTTTGCCTTTATATATATGATCCATGTCATCTAATTGAATAATTTGAATATGATCTCGCTGCTGCTCGCCACGCATTACTGTTATCTGATTGTGAGTTGTCAATTCGCTTCCTTTTGTTAACGGTACGCTTTCTGCTTCCTCTTTATTGGAAAATATTGTATGTAACCCTAACAGCACAAACGTCAATATGTCGACTGTAAGTTGACTTTGTACAGACGTCGACTTTAGGACGACTAATGCGATTTACACTCACAAAATTAGAATCATTTCGTCCTTGTTTAACTATATTATAGTTAAGCAAGGACGCATGCTGTTCATGAGCATTATGTAGCATGTGAATCGGATTACTGCCTATAAGAATAATATATAATCTATTTTTTTAAATAGTCGACATAAATTGACTCGTCAAAAAGCCTACACAAAATATTCGTGAGATATCACTGCAATGTATGCGCACGTGATTGCGTGCGATGCAGCATACAACAGCTAATAAATGGCGATTGCAGAAATAGCGGCCGGGAGTCTGTTAATAATTAAAGAATAGAATTAATATTATAAAAGATTTGGGAACATGTCAGTGCAACTAT